CCCCTTTTTTTTTTTTTTTTTTTTTGGTACCAGGACCTTGCACTTGCAAGGCAGGCATAGCACCACTGAGCTGAATCTCTGACCCTCCCTATACCAATTCTTAATCCAATACTCCTGGTGTAAAGTCTCTATTTCTTTAAAGCCCTTCTAGACACAATCCCTAAGCCAGTGCAACTGGGAACCATTCTTATAACCAGATTAACTTAGTACTGGGTCAACCAAAACCTCATAGGCAACAGAATAGGGGAAAGACAGATTGCACCAATACTATCAAGAACTGGCCACTAGCCTCCAGCCACAATTTCCCATTAGGAAGGCAAGATGGAGGCTGGACATGTCCTTTCATGGTACTACGTAAGGATGGTGTAGAACCAACTCATTCATCCCATGCTTCAAAGGACAAAGACAACAGGGACTAGCATCAAGTATGGATGCCTGAAATCCTTCAGAATTTTGGCCCTTGAAGTGTACAGTTAAAATGGGTACACTAAACTGAAAGCATAAATAAGGACTGAAATGAATAACTGATAATGTGAAATAAGAATGAAAGGTCCAAAAGGGTAGGGGAAGTGGGAAAGGTAGAGGAAAGAAGGGGAAGGAAAAAATGCAAACAAAGTCTTTGTAAACAGGGAGGGGTGGAGGAGCTGAAGTGAGGGCAAAGCAATGGGGGAAAAATAAGAACCAAGATACAACATGTAAAGTTACAAGTTCCCAATGATAAATACAGATTATTTTATACCTAAAATGTACCAATAAAATTATGGAAAAAAATAATACAATGGCTACACTGATTAGAAGTTTACAAACACTAATACTGTTAATACTTGCAACAGTCAAATTAACTTTTTCTTCAAATATGTTTCTAAGAATCAATAGCAAAGACCATCTGTTATTATAATACTATTTAATAATGACACTTATAAACATAAACATTTCTGAAGACACAGGAGCTCCTGTTTATTGTTCAGGTCAGTGAACCACACTAAATGTGCCTGTCTTAGAAAGTTGCCAGATACAACAGTTCTGCTGAGAAGAAAGGCCTCTGATACCGGGGGTTAAGCTTCTTTCTTCTGGGATTTCAACTTTTGCTGAGATTACATCCTGTGCCATCATGCCCAACTTGTTTCTTCTGTACCAAATGCTAATGTCATTTAGGTTCTCAAACTGAATGAATGGCAGCTTCCGGTCCTTAGCCTGCAAAGAAACTAAATTTCAGTATCATTTTCTGCTCTCACCAACAGTCATTCAAAACATAAAAGATATCATCAGAAAACCGTAGGCTCACCACTAACAATCTGCCGGTAATTCCAGCTATTTTGGTGATTTCATCACTTGATACCCTTCTTCTTCAAAATTAATTTTTACAACTAGCTGCTCAGTCATTCCAACATGAATGACTATGCAGGTCAAGGCTTACCTCCTCCTGGGCTGTGCTGCTGCCAGCTCTAAATCTGCACTCCAGAACTGCGCCCAAACCCTGGGGAAACAAAGGCACAGCAACGTAAGGCTACAGAACAGGAAAGGCATGAGAACCTCCAAGACTACCAGCTTCTTAAATCCATTCTATTAACACTGTCCCTTACAACCTTACATAGTGGCGTTTTTGTAAATGACTAAATCTACAAATCCTAAATAACTTCTTGGGTGTTACAATCTGTACTTAGTAGTGCATTTAAAAGTCACAAACCTACTAGTGTTACCTCTCATAAATGAGGACACTGTACTTCAGATGTGGGGAGATAATTTGCTCAAGATTAAACACCCAATAGAATGGGAACCACTTTCTAGGTACACATTCTTCTCAGTCCCATTGAGGATCAACTTAACCCTGGACAACACCAAATGCTGCAGACGTGTTGACTGCAGTCAGCCAGGAGTAGTTATCGTCAGTTATCGCTTCTGACGGCACTTCCTATTAGCTATCATCAGAGCAGTCAAAACACCTCACCCCTCTCTCCAGTCCTCTTCCAACTGGAGGCATGGACACTATGTAAAACCGGAACATGTAGCTCAGTGGGCAGCTTCAATCCTCAGTACCACGTGTACCATCCACCCCCACAAAAAAAAAACACCACTTATATACACTTGTTTTTGCAAATCACTTAGTTCATATATGGATAATGTATTTGTATACAAATACATAAATGTACTTTTGCTGCACTAAGGATTGAACCCAGGGCCTCTTCCATGGTACTAAACCCTGTACCACTAAACTACATCTGGGCAAAAAAAAAAGGCCTGATTTTTAATGCAGTTTCATCCTATATCTGTAGCTTTATCAGCCATCTTAGTTTCTATCTCAGTTTTTACATCACTGCAAAGACAGTGTTATAAATGGCCCACAAGAGATCAGGAGTCACAGGCTTCTGTGAGCAAAAAGACTAGATTCACTTCTGTCCATATATAGACACTGCTAAGATTCTGAATGATTTCATCAGCTGGCCAGAAAAGCAGTTTTGTACAACGTTTGGGAGTATGGGATTATAATTCTAAAGAATCTGGGATCGAATGTTTGGGGTCAAATTTCCAAGGAGTTTGTGCAGGTGTGCATATACCAGCCTCTTAGGCGCTAGGGAGATTATATATTATGTCCTAAATTTTCTTTAGGGGGCATACGTTCATATATACTTAGGGCAGCACGGCCCTGTTTAGAAGCTTCCTTTTTTTTGCTGTGGTCTGAATGTTTGCCAAGAGGTTCCCACTCAGGTCAGGTATGACAGACACGTGTTCTGTTTAATTTACAACTAAACCACCAACTTCAATACATCTCAGGTAACTAAATAACAAGCAAATCACATTTTTTTTTTTACCAAGTGCTGGAAGTCGAACCCAAGTCCTTCAGTGTGCTATGCCACCCTTAACACTAAGCTACACCTCCATCCCCCAAAGTGACATACTAAAACACACTCGACTTCACATTGGGATACCGCTTCTGTCTTCAACATTGTGCACTGAGTCCGCCATCTGAAAAGTGGATTAAGAACAAGAACTCAGAGTAGAGTCAGGCAATAATGTGAACTAATCTGCAGAAATTTTAGCGACTATAGTCAGATCAAATATAAATATCGTCAGTTATCGATTCTGACGGCACTTCCTATTACTAGTTATCATCACAATAGTCACGTTTTCCTCGTAGTTCCACTGCAGTCCATCTATGTGCAGCGCCCTTGGATTATTCCCAGACATGGGCAGGCAGATACCAACCTACCCAACTTTTCAGGTTTGCGGCCTCACGGAGGATGCGGAAACAGAATGAATTCTGCAGGCACCAGAAATCTGCGGCGGAAAAATGTGCAGTCCATGAGCCTCAGCTCAGCACGACTGTACGATAATCTCCAACACAGGACCGCAGCGCCCGCCCCGACATCCAGTCAACGTTTCAGCTAACTCTATCCAAAATCAACTCTGTAGAACACAAAAGAGTTGAAGCTCTTTATCTGCCCTCGCTGCCATCCTGTAGGGACAGATATTAAACCGTACTACCTACACGGCCACTGTAGTAAAAAGGTCGTCCCTAATTTAACCAGAGCCCTTAAGGAATCAGAATATCCCACAGTTCACATAACGGAGGGTGGGACTGGCAAAGACTCATGGGAACTTTCGCTCCATTTAACGATACAGACGCCGCACCGCCCGGAAACTACCCCCGTTCTACTGAGCTGGTATAGTCTCTTCCAAGCCCCTTAGGATTCTGGGTAACGAAGCGAACAGCGATTTTAGGGGCTTCAGGCGCAAGGAAGTGACGTTTGTCAGGAAATTGAAAGAGAAAGGAAAGGAAGAGAGCCAACGGAAGACAAGGTGGTAGCTCTTTTTAGTTCTATTGTTTTGCTACCGGGGATCGAACTCGGGACCTTGCGCCTGCGAGGTAGATGACGGAACCACTGAGCTAAATCCCCGGCCCCGGGTGAAAGTTCTAGAATGTTTCAGAAAGGGTAGGGTGCAGCAGGATCACTGTGAATTCAAGTCCGGCTTCAACTACTACATAGCGAGAACCTATCTCGTAAAAAGAAAAACAGAAAAAAGGGTAGGCTGCTGAGAAGGCTAATACTTGGAATAGGTATATGAGATGGGAGGTAGGAGTAGGACTTGATGAAGGCAACTCGGTAGGGACTGGAAGGACATTCTGTGCTAAAATGGAGAAGACACGGCACAGAGATGAGGAGAGGCATAAGAATTGGATTCTGCACGATGTGAAGGTGATGTGGGCCGGTGTAATGCGGGAAAGCTCGAGATAAAAGACTCTGGCTTATAAGGCAGTGTCCTCAGGCACCAAGAGATGCCACCTATTTTAAGGGCCAGGCAAACAGCCTTTCCCTATTTGCAATTGAATCTTATTTGGAATTGAAAACTCTCCTTCAGCTTATGGTATCCTTTCAGTACGTGAATATGTTCAGGCTTCTCCTTTTTTTTATTAAAATACTTTATCCTAACTTGACTTGGTGGTGCACTCCTGTAACCCCCGGCATTCTGGGAACTGAGGCAGGAGAATCGCAAGTTCGAGCCCAGCTTGACCAATTGAGGGAGACTGTCAGAAACTGAAGAAGGGTTGGGGGAGGTAACCAAGTCCGGAGGCCCTGGCTTCAATCTTAGTGTAGGACTGTGGGAGGCCTCATGGCTATAGAGTTTGAGTTTGCCTAGGACACCCAAGACCCAGTGTTCCATCTCAGGAAGGAAGGAAGCAGGCACATTTTGTACACAAACCTTATACCAAGGGAGAGCAATTCATTTTGACTAGAGAGAACTGAAGAGAGCAAAATTTGAGCGAACCAACTTAAACTGAAAGTGGTAATTTTTTAAATTTTTGGCAAGACATTTATATGTTATCTAGAAAAATACAAGGAAGAATTTGAAGCCCAATTTTTTTTGTCGTGTTCACAGTTACGTGTCCCAAAGCTGGAACACTAGACATAAAATGATTAATCTTAGAGTGAAAAGGTTTTTAGTGGCTCTTCTAGAATGAGCCAAGTCAAGGTTCAAACACGAGGACCTTCAGCTTGCATGATGAATTTGGTGAGGACTGGAGAAGTGACTCAGTGGTAGAGCACTTGCCTAACATATGTAAAGCCTGCTTTCAATTTCCAGGACCAGAAGGGGTAGCAGGGAATGGTTGGTCAAAGTTCTAAGAACCGTTCATCAAACTTCCCTCTACAGACAGCAGGGATATAGGGGAAGACTGAAGGGTGGAGGACTCCTGAAGCTTCCTGGGGAACCTCTCAGGCCTTCAGAGCACGACAGTGACATATTTGTCTGTGTCTTAGGAAAACCCCTCTGATTCCAGAGAATAGCATGGAGGAGTGGAGAATTGAGTATAAAACCCCTCACTGGAGTTGGGGGCTGGGGGAGTAGCAAAAATCCAGAGTCTGAACTAAACCATAGAACTCAAAGGAAATTAGACTCCGAGACATCTTGGGGTAAATTGTTCTCTGCTCTGCCCCTCTCTTTTTTCCCCTCTTTTCTGAGTTCTTTGGTTTTGTTTTTGTTTTTCTTTTTTTTTTTTCTTAATTTTATTGATATCTTTTATGTATGTTCAATGATAACATCATATAGTTTCATTTGTTTTTGAGGTGAAGTCTTGTTAAATTGCCCAAGCTGGTCTCAGACTTAAATCCTCCTGCCTCAGATAGCTGCCCAGCTTGGAAGTGAATTTATCTGATATCTGATGGCACAGAGAAAGAAAGAAGTGGCTGTGTTTGCCCAGGTTTACTGCCAAGTCTGCCCTGAGAGCAGGCACAGCACCTCAGGCAGCAGCCTGCCACCAGGATGAGGATAGTACTAGGACTCGGGAGAGTACCTGGAGGTTTTGAAGCTGAGAATAGCCTTGTCCCATAACCCAGATACATACACATAGAGACATGCAGATGTTAGACCGTGGGTCTCAGCAAATAATGTTTGCTGAAATAATATTTCCAAAAGAATTCGTTGTGAAAAAAGTATTTATATTTCCATCAAAATTCAAGAGCCCCAGAACTAGAAGGTGTGGCTGAAAAGATTCCTGCTTCTTCTGGCTATCGACTGGCCTGGAGCACCTGGAGAGGCAGGTGGTCTTCCTGTGAGAAAAGCTCTTCTTAGGGTTGAGAGGTCAGTCCAGGATTCTTCATGATGCCTGTAAATAGGATGGGAAACACTGTGGCTTGGCTCTTGGAGAGGACTATAGCCATGAAAACTTGTCACACCCAGTGGACAGCAGGTGATCCCCGGGTCATGCAAACCCTCTCTTTGCTTCTCTCCTTTCATGAGCATTTGCTGAACCCCTGCCAAGTACCAGTCATGGGTCTTCCCCTAGGAGTGACCAGCTGTGCATCAGAAACCAGAAAATCTGAGAATGCTGACACACAGTAGACACATGCTTTAGATGCTGAGAGAATGCAGAGGTGACAAAGGAGCCATCATGTAGGGAAAGTGGCAGGTGTGGACACCCAAAGGGAAGAAAGGGCAATGGCAGCAGAGACAAGAGCCAAAGGTACCAGAAAAATGAGGACTGCTGCCGTATGGTCTGAGCTATGGGAAGGTATTGGACAGCACATTACCTCGACACTGAGAGTGTGGCCCTCCAGGCAGCAGGAGCTCTGGGCCTTGCAAAGTTTTTGTCTATACTACTAGAAATGTAAAAAATTTCTCTGAAGGTCAGGATGAGCTGGTATGGTGGCACATGCCTTTGATTATAGCCCTCCAGAGGCTGAGACAGGAGGATCTTTATGAATTTGAGGCCTACTGTGGCTCCTTAGTTCAAGGGCAGCCTAAAGTACAAAATGAGATCCTATCTCAAAAACCATGATAAAGTGCTCCCTTCACTGGCACATATACCAAAAGACCACAGAAAAGCCTGGCATGATGTCACATGCCTGTAACACCAACACTGAGGAGGCCCAGGCTGGAGGGTTGCCAGGAATTCAAAGCCAACCTAGAATACATAGTGAGTTCAAAGCCAACCTGAACTACATAGTAAAACCATGTCTCAAAAACAAACAAACAAACAAAAATCCCAAAATGCTGCCTAAGGTGGCACACACCTGTCATCCCAGCATGTGGAAGGCTGAACCAGGAGGATTGCTGCAAGTTGGAGGCCAGCCTAGGCTACAAAGTTTGCTGCAAGTTGGAGGCCAGACTGGACTGCATAGCAAACCTTTGTCCTTTTTTTTGGTTTTTAAAACAGGGTCTCACTACATAGTTGAGACTGACCTGGAACTCACTATGTGGCCCAGGGTGGTCTCAAACTCATAGCAATCCTCCTGCCTCAGCCTCCCAAGTGCTGGGATTACAGGCGTGCGCCACCACGCCCGGCCAGACCTTTGCCTTTAAAAAAAAAAAAAAAGAAAAAGAAAACCCCGAAGGTCAGGGTGCAAGCACTCTTAGTTGAAAAGCAGGAGAAATGAAAGGCAGCAGCACAGAGGTGAGTGGCTGCCTGAGAAGTCCACCTCACAACACCAGGTGAGAAAACCAATGCAGGGGTCTGCAGAGAAACTCCAGCACTCCCATCTAAGCACAGTGGGGTGGGATTGGTACAGGTTACCTGGGAGGGCAGCCCAGGCATGGACAGCAGGCAGTGAGGTGTAGGGTTGAAGCATGGAAGGCCTTGGGCAAGATGAAGGACAAGGTGACTTTCAGAGCCTTGGCATCGAAGTAAAGGCAGGGAGACACATAGAGTGTGAGGGTAAAAAGGAAACATTTCAGTGTGTGGGCACCGGGGCTGGGAAACCAATGGGCTTTATGGGTTGTTTGTTTCTTTTTTGTTTTTGTTTTGGTACTGGGGATTGAACTCGGGTCCTTGTGCTTGCAAGGCAGGTGCTGGAACGACTAACCTAAATACCCAGCCCCCAAAAGGCTTTAAGCAGAAGTGGCCAAAGGAGCCTCTCTACCACAGAGCTCATGGGCAACTCAAGAGACCCTTTGGCCTGGGGAATTTAAAGTCATAAGCAGGTAACATTTGTGAGGAAAGAGAAGAAGAAAGAAGAGGAAGACAGCCAACGGAACAGAGGGTAGGGGATCTTGGTTGCATAAATAAAGGGTATGTGGCATGTGACTGTGATTCCCAACACTGCTGGAGGCTGAAGCAGGAGGATCACTGCAAGTTCAACCCCAGCCTGCGCTACAGAGTGAGACCCTGTCTCAAAACCAAGAACAAAGGTAAGCTGCAGAGAATCCATGGAATGGGAGGTGGGATGAAGCAGTAGATTTGATGGAGGCTCTGAGTGGGAAAAGGAAGGACATCTGTGCTACAATGTAGAAGACACCGTGCACAGAGATGATTGGGAAAAGGAAGGACATCTGTGCTACAATGTAGAAGACACCGTGCACAGAGATGAGGAGAGGCGTAACAAGGGCTTCTGTAGGATGTGAAGAGGCTGTGGGCTGGTGTGATGGGGAAAGCTTGGGATCAACCAGGCTGGCCTATAAGGCAGTGCCCTCAGGACCTAAAGCGAGGCCACCTGTTTGAGGGCCAGGTAAGAAGCCTTTCCTAACTTGCTCCCCTGCTGGGGCCCCAGGCTCAGCTCAGATCAGACAGTGGGTGGGTCCTGAGTAGGCCATTTGGAATGGTTGACTGTAATCCAGACAGAAGAAAAGGTGAGGTGAGACCAGGAGAGAGACAGGGAGAAGGCGGGGCTGAGGCCTCCTCCTCCTCCTCCTCCTCCTCCCCAAGACTTCAAGATCATGTGATCCAGCAGCTACTCACCAGGAATGCCTTGCCCTGAGGGGTCTTCACACACTGTGGGCAGCGTCTGCTCCCAGGCAGCCCAGTTCACTTCCTCCACCCTGTCAATAACAAAGCAGCCCTCAAGTCCTGGGAAGCAGCATCGCATCCTACCTTAGAGAGATCAAGCCACTTCTCAAGTCAGTGAACTGTGCAGATGCTCTAGTGGACACAGGGACAGGGAGAGGTGGGATTGCCCTGCCCTGCTCTGTGGACATTGGGCCTCCCATATCCTGCCAGGAGCTCCTTCCCTCTGAGCTCTTCACAGCAGCCTGTGTTGCCCAGAGCAAGCAGAGAAGAGGGACAGAGGTCAGGCCCAGCCTTGTGTTCTGGATTCTAGGAACCTTTCATGCCTGTTCAACATACACAGAAGCCTCATTCTCTCTCCCAGCTTGACTGCATTCCCATAACACTGCGCCATTCTGGATGTGTTTGTCACCTGGATCCCTCTCCTAGCACCCAGCTTTTGCTGAGCACATAAGGAGTTATACCTCTAAGAACAGGTTGGGAGAACTGGTGGTGGGGGTGCAGCCCGGGCCAGGCCACTAGGAAGAGTCAGAGGTCACCAGGGAGGAGGCTTCAGTTTAAGCCACTCAGATGGGCAGATGGCCAGAACCACCGGCAGTGCTGCAGTGGGCTGTGCGAATCAGTATCCCTGCCCTCATTTGCCTGGGTGGATTTCTCTGGCGCTCCTCAGCCTTTCCTCTCCCACAGACCTGGCTCCTAGCCACCGCCCTAGCTTTCTGGAGAACGAGGCTGGCCTGCACCGTGGACAGGCCCCAGGGATTCCTGGGTCAGCAAGGCCCCTGCCCTGTTCTGTCCACCTCGCTCACCTGAAGCACCAACGCTCGTCAGGGCTTCCATCTGGCCTAGTGCCCAATGTCAGCAGAACGCCTGACTGCTGCTTCTTCCTCCTGCACCACCAGTAGCCATTTTCCATCTCCAAGACACAGATGGCTTTCTGAGGATAAAAGATGCATCAGACAGAGTGGCCCAGGACCCTGCCCGAAGAAAGAGGCACACAGGGCAAAGGCAACAAGAAAATACCCAACAGTAGTCCACAGTGTGATCCAAAGTCTACTACGTGTGTGGTTCCAGTCTAGCACCAACATCTGATTCTATGGTGCGGGGCCCTAACTCTCTGAATTCCAGTTTCCCTCATGTAGACCTAGGATATTGCAAGTGAAATGGTTGTTGGCAAGTCAGAGTGCAACAAAGCTGGACAATGACTTGCTCTTGCAGCTCGATCAGTGTCCCAGGTGCTGCAGGCTGGGCCAGCCCTATGATTTTACACCCTGACTACCTTCCTCACCAAACGGGATATACTTGGTGCTTCATGAGGTCAGGGCCAGGCTTTATCTTTACCAAGTCCGAAAACAGTTACTGGATGAACCGTAAAAAAATACTCAAGAAACATGTGATGCCAGGAACGGTGAGAGGTTCCTATCATTTTAGCTTTTCCAGAGGATGAGAGATGAGGAATGCAAATTCAAGTCCAGCTTTGACAATTTAGTGAGACTTTGTCTCAAAATGAAGAACAAAAGGTGCTGAAATACAGCTTAGCACTGCATGGGTTCAATCCCTACTAGCACCCCCCCAAATTTTTATATCAATAATGCTAATGATAAAAATAACTAATACGGCACACCTGTTATGTGATAGGCACTGTGCTGGGCAGGTTGTAACCAGGAATACATCCAATTTTCACTACTTCATTATGAAAGGAGGACTGAATTGAGTCTGTGGGGTTCTTCTACTGAGCTCAGTAGAGTCCTGAGAATGCCTCAGCAGACCCAGAACACAGGATGAGTTAGAAGAGGGGAGGGAAAGCTTGCTGTGGCACCTGTAGCTTCCATATGCTCCAGCTGTCGGTGGCAACGCTGTTGACTGTCTCACTCATGAGGGCGATAAGCATGTTGAGCAGCAGGACGTAGGTGAGAATAACATTAGCCAACAACACTACCCCTCGGAAGCGCAGATGCTCCTGGAAGGCCAGCTCGCCCATGCCGATGGTGAACTTGAAGAGCTCCAACGAGGCATCTAGGATGGTCCTGTACGGGGCCACCTCATCCCCCTGTCCTGTCCCAGGCTGAGCAACCTCTGTGGCATTGAGGCTTGCAGGGACTTTGGGGTCCCGGGACTCCTGGCTCAGGCTCACCAGGGCTGTGGGAAGGATGGAGGGGTTCCTCAGACCGGGGGACAAATAGGGAGCCTGTACATGGCAGGGAAGGGATAAGCAGAGCCCAGAGAGGGTCTTTACCTATAGCGAAGCCGAAAAGGAAGACTAAGTAGACCAGCAGGAAGCGGAGCAGGTCCCGCAGGATAACCTGGAACACACAAGCACATGAGCTGGGCTGGGCGGCTGGGGCACCACACTCAACTCCCCAGCCCCAGAACTGAGCACAGTTCCCATTGTACCCACACAAGCATGTACACAAGCACACATACAGAAGGATAACAATGAATGTTTAAATTTTTAAAAAATGGTTACTGTTAATAACACATTGCCTCATGTAAAGGTACAAAATGTACCAATAAACCCAATGAGAAAAAGAAAATTACACATTGCCATTATTCCCCCTTCCTTAGAACACACTTATCCCATTGTTTTGCCACCCTCTGAAATAATTCTGGAAGTCCTCTTTCATGAGTGTCTGTAAAGTGTAAATAAAAAGATACAGTGAATGCTACTGCTTCCACTATATCCAGCAGAAAGCCAGACTTCTACAAACATTACACTGGTTCCTCATCCGCCTTTTTAATCAGTTCTAGTACTGTGTCCCTTCTGGCTCTTACTGAAAGTCAAAATAACCATGAAAGGCAAACATTTTAAACTGATATAGGGCATTGAAAATGGAGACTCAGACCAGCCGTGGTGGCACACAGCTATAATCCCAACACTCAGAAGGCTGAAGCAAGTGGATTGCTTCTAGTTCGAGGCCAGCCTGGACTACATAATGAGTTCAAGGTCAGATGGAGCTACAAAGCAAGACCCTATCTCAAAACACAGACACACAACAGAGACACAAACAGATATTTGTACACCATATTCGTAGCAGCGCTATACTATTCACAATAGCCAACTTATGGAATAAAGTGTCCATCCACTGGTAAATGCATGCACAAAATGTGTACCATACCATAAGATGCCATTCCTCAGTAAGACAAAGTAAGTCTGTCACATGCTGCAGTATGGATGAGCCTTGAAGATACTGTCGTAAGTGAAATAAGCTACTCACTGGACAAGTACTATGTGATTCCACTTACATGAAGTTTCTAGAACCAGTAAATCATACAGACAGAAAGGAAATGATGGTTCCCAGGCTGAGAGAAGGCGAAAAATGTGTTGTTTAATGGGCATCAAGTTTCTTTATTAAGATGAAATAGTTCTGGGCCAGGGATTTAGCTCAGTGCTTTGACCGCATGCCTCAAAAGCATAAAGACCCGAGTTCCATCACGACTACCAAAAAAAAAGATGAAACCGTTCTGGAAATGTGATGATGGCTTTATAACAGTGGGAATGAGTTTAATACCACTTACCTGTACACTTAAAATGGTACATGTTGCTTTTGCTTTTTTTTCCAATTCTGGAAATCAAACTCAGGACTTAGCACTTGCCAGGCAGGCGAATCACCATGGACCTAAATGCCCAGCAAAATGGTAAAATTTTTTTGTTTCTTTTTTGAGGCACGGTCTCCTTTGCAATTCAGGCTATACCTGAACTGTGCAGCTCAAGCTGGCCACAGATCTCAGCCTGCACAGTGCAGTGATTACAGGTGTGTGCAACCACGACAAGCTTGGTAAATGTTTATATTAGGCTTTTCTTTTTTAATTTATTTTTATTCATTTATTTATTTATTTATCTTTAGATAAGGTCTCATGTAGTTCAGTGTAGCCTTGAACTCAATATGGTGCCCAGGCTGGCCTAAAACAAATGGCTATCATTCTATCTCAGCCTTCCTTGGCTAGGCTCTTGACTTCTCACTGTGCAAAGCCCCTGATCCTGACCTGCCTGCCAACTTCTTCTCCACTTTACCTCTCTCTCCATCTGCCTGGCCTCTTGCCTCTGCCTCATGCATGCACCTCGTCCTGACTCACCATCTTCACCTTTGTTATTATCTCTGTGAAGGATGCTTCCTCCTTGACCTTGACTCTACTGTGACCAATTGTTCTATCAGATCTCCACTTAGACATCAGCTCTCTAAAGCACCCTCCACCCCATCTGTCTTCCATCATATTGTCCCATGATGTTCCTTTATACAGTTTAGCAGTTGGCCGTGTAGGCAGTGGTTTCCTTAGTGTTTTTCCCCACTGGACCGTCAGTCCCAGGAGCGCAAAGACTTGTCTCTTTTGCTCACTCTTGTTATTACCAACATTTACATCAAGGCCTGGCCTGCACTGGGTGCTCCTTAAACATTTATGGAATAAATGGATGGCTGCAGATGCCCTCCTGTTCCCAGGCACAGACATACATATGAGCGTATCCTCCGCTTCTTTGTGAAGAAGGGTGCATGTGCTCCCGTGTGGGTGCCTGCAAACACACATGTGCGTGTGTCTCTGTGTCCCTGCATGCCCATACAGCACTTGCATGAACATTTGGCGAGCATCTGGGTGAGTGACACTCAGGCAGACATGCTCGTGCTCTCCTCTGCTCAGGATCGCTGTGGAGGAAGAACCCTGCTTCCTGGGGCCAAAGGGAGTCCCTCTGTGCTGTGGTGTCCAGCCCTGCCCCATCTCTCACCTTCTGGATCATGACACTGTAGATGCCCGTGTACTGGAAGCCGCGTGTATAGTACAGCAGGTTCAGCCAGCCCAGCACCAGCGAGGACACAAGCAGGGGCAGGTACCACTCAATGGACATGAAACACAAGACCTGGGATAGCACCGTGAGCAGGGCCTGGGCCAGGCTGTAGGGGCAGGGTTCCAGTCAGCTCCCGGGCCACACTTGGCAAAATCCCCCAAGTCCTACTGGCCACCCCAGACCACAGCTGTGGCTCCCACAACAGTCTGTTGGTGTGAAGTGTTCTCCCTTTGGGACTGAACCAAATCACTGCTAGACAAGTTCGTCAGCCTTTGTGGGTTTTGGTTCCCTCTCCTAACAAATAGGTATAATAACTGACACCTGATTCAGAGTGCTTTCAAGGATCGAGTGAGACACATGGAAAGAGGCAAAGCTCCACATGTGTGCAGTGAGGGCTTAGTAAAGGTAACCATCACATTGGTCCACAAGGACAGGAGTGGGAAGGGCTCCCGGCTGGATAGGAGGCAGGACTCCCAGGTCTGGCCTGTGCCCAGGTCCCGACCCTCTGGAACTCCCTGGGCTGCCCCAGTGTCATTGCCTCTAACTGCAGCCTGGTGCCCTCTTCCATACCCACCACCCCGGGCCTCAGAGATAGTGTGCAGTAGGAGTGAGAGTCCACATACAAGAGGATTTCAAAGTAGCTGTCCACAAATGAGATCCAGATGAACAGGCGGCGACGCCAGAAGTACCAGAGCTGCAGAGAAGGAGAACAGAGGGTGTGAAACTTGCTCTCCGGGCAAAAGAGGTCAGCTGTCCTCCGGACTGCGGGGCCCCTGCTCACTGCCTGCTCCCTGCCTGCTGGCCTGCCTGCATCAGGCCTGGGGAGCATCATTTTGGAGTTGAGAAGGCAGCTTTGATTTGGGAGTCTCATGAATCCTTACAAACACTCACATGGCTATGGAGCCTCTTTCAGAAAAGAACAGCTGGGCTGAGCATGCATGAGGCCCCGCGCTCCATCCCCAGTACTGAGGCGGAGGGACGGGGGAGAACAGCCTCACATAGGCACTCAGTGCCGGGGGCCTCCTGGCCCATCTAATCAGATGAAGAGCCCACATACTGCACGTGCAGAACAGAAGAGCTTCTTTCCTCCCCGTCTCCGTTGCCTTCTGAGGAGCACCCTGTACTTCAGACAACCTGAGCGTGGAACCTAATTCGACCTACTCTGTCCCAATATTTTGGTTCCAGCTTCACTCTTGCAAGCTTGCAACATTGCCAACTGGGAATGCTCTGCTGCAGGAGGTGGGCTGAGTCCCACCTGCCATCAGCCGTCTGTGCTCCCCATGTGATAAAGGCCAGCCGAGGAACTCAGGGCTAGGGGCTTCCAGCTCCATCTTCGGGGACACAGAGCCTAAACGGGCAAGGACTCAGAGAAGCCAGCTGCTACCCCATGGGTGTCCCAAAAGGCACAGAAGGGAGAGTTCCAGAGCTCCAGAAGGCAAGGCTAGGACCTGTGCCCCTCCATTGCCGGCAGGCTGGTCTTGGTGGAACTGGGTATGGGCGTCCGTTTCCCCATCAATAAAGGGATTGTTTTCAACTCACTGGCCTGTACGGAGGCCCTCACCTGGACAAGGAGGAGGTAGATCCCCCCAAGGAGGATCAAGATGTGGCCCACCAGGAGCATGGAGGTTCTGGGCGATGAGTCCAGCCATGAGGAGGCCTGCTGAGGAAGGACACATACACATTCTGGTAAGTCCTAGGGCCTCAGCTTCTCCCCAGCAGCTCAGACCAAAGCTCAGGGACCACTCTGAGCCTACACTATGGCACAGCCGAAGAAACATGGTCTCCAGGGAAGAACCCCCGGATTCTAGTGCCTTCAGAGGCACATCGTGTCTCGAACATAGGCTCGGAGCCAGACTGCCTGAGTTCAGATCCTGACTCCAGCACTTACAGAGTGTGTGACCTTGGCTAAGTTACTTAACCTCTCTGTGCCCCTGCTTCTCTCACGTGTAACTGAGGGTGAGAAGAGTTTGTTATTCCAGAGGCTTGTTGTGAGCATTCGTGAGTTAACACATATCAATCATGTGTGGTGAGCACTGAGTGTCCACTGTGACATCTGTCATCACCACTAGGGGGCTGGCTTCTGCAGTTGGTACTCAGACCCTGGGTGCTTCACTCAGGCTGCCTTTGTAGGATGGGGCTGGTGGCCCCTGCCCCATCTGCCTCCGGTTGCCTCCAACAGGCCTCCCTAAGGACTTCTCTCCCTGCCCGTGCCTGCTCCAGGGCTGGCTGGTGGTAGGCAACAGCAGTGAAGATGAGCACGTAGATCAGATAGCACAGGAAGTTGAAGAAGAACTTGGAGATGAACTGATCCCATTTTGCCTGCAGCAGTTTGTTCAGTGGCTCCAAAACTACCATGCGGTGTCGGTGCTGGGGGAAAGAGAAGAAGAGCCTTGGGTATAGAGGTTTACAGGATAAAGACAGCAGGTATGGATAGAGCCTCCACTTCCCGCCAAGCTCCGTACAAGGGCCAAGGGAAATAGAGGGCAAAGGACCCCCAAATGGTCCCCTCCTCACCTGCCTCCACCCCAGCTCTACAGTGACCGAGGGCTGCCCCCTCCATCCCACAGCAAAGGCTGCTCAACAGAGAGAGCGCAGTGCTCGCCACAGGGACAATCCCTGTGTTGCATGGGCCACAGTGTATTATCATTAGTATGGGTCTGATGGCCAGGGTCAGGGACATGCAGCCACAGCCCCACAGGGACAGAGCAGGTGTGTTCCAGCAAGCAGCCATGACTTGTGCGGCTCTGCTGGGCCCTCTGGGCCTGGCCACGCCCCCTCGGACTCACTGGGCTCCTGCAGTGAAAGGCGATGATCTCCAGCACCGAGTTCTCCTCGCAGCTGTCCACGGAGGCCAAGTCATAGAGTGATACCCGGACAGGCCCGTAACACCACTCGGTAAACTTGCGCGAAAGGGCCTGGCACGGTGCTGGGAACTCCCGCTGCAGGATGTGCTTGAAAATCTGCAGGAGGACATATAAGTTTGCTGGCTGGGCCCTCTCCAGCCCTGATGCTGGGCCAAGCCCGGGAAACGGTCAGCACCCTGCAGAGCTACCCTTCTGCGGAGCTGCAGCACGTGTGTGCCCAAGCCCTGTACCCAAGCGTCCTTGTGAGTCTAAATTCGCCTATCCATCCTCACGTGCTCAGCCACACACGGGGCAGAATCTTTTGCCCACCCTTTCACATAGGTCATCAAACTGTGCTTCAACCTGCCAAGTACCTGGGATTACAAATTTAAACTATTTCTACCAAAAGACTTCCTCAAAAGGCCGGGGATTTAGCTCAGTGGTGCCACCGCCTGCCTCGTAAGTGCAAGGGCCTGAGTTTGACCCCTGGCACCAAAAAACAAAAGCAAAAAACTGTCACATAAATCAAAGTTTTAGACATGAAAATGAACCTCTCTGGAGAAGAGTTAGTCCAGAGAAAAATATAAATACTTGTATGTATATTATATATAATTACATCACATAAATGGTATGACAACAATATATAAATAATATAATACAATTGCATACATAATACGTAATATATGTATGGGGAGATCAAGGTTCTTTCACATGCTAGGCAAGTGCTCAACCACTGGCTACATCTATAGTCTATATAAAATCCTTTTTTTTTTTTCTTAACACAGGCTTTCATTATGCAGTTCAGCCCGGCCTTGATCACACAGTGATCCTTCTGCCTCACTTTTTAAAAATCTTATACAAGGAAATAAATCACAGCAAAAGCAAACACTCTTTTAAAAAAAGGTAAGTATACTTGCACACATAAATTTTTTCTTTGTTGTGTGTTTTTTTACATGGGATTTTTGTTTGTTTGTTTTGGTACTAGGGATTGAACTTGGGACCTTGGGCTTGAGAGGCAGGCAGTAGCCGCACTGAGCTAAATCCCCAGCCCTTTGATATGGGCTCGTACTATGTTACTCAAGTTGGTCCCAAACTCGTGGCTCTAATGACCATTGCACCTCAATTGCCCAGGCACGTGAAACGACAGGCATATGCCCAGTTGCACACATAAAATTTTTAATTTTTATGGAAAATAATACCTTAAAATTAAAAACCAGACATCAGACTTGCAGAAAAATTTGCAAAGCAGGCAAAATGCTAAGTGCATTGTAAAGAACTGCTACCAATCGATATCAAGAAAACCTAATAGCAAAATATGCCTATTGTATGGATATGAAAATACTGTCTTCCTGGACATGGAGGTGCATGCCTGTAATTCCAGGACTTGGGAGGCTGAAGCAACAGGATCATCATGGGTGTGAGGCCAGCCTGAGCTACGTAGTGACTTCAAGGCACTCTGAACTACTTAGCGATAGCTTGTTTGGAAATTTTTTTTAAAAATGCAGACACAAACACACACACACACACACACACACACACACACACAGAGGGCCGGAGATTTCGCTCAGGTTCTGATGCCAGCCTTTCAAGCACAAGGGGCTGAGTTTGATCTCCCATACCAAAAAAAAAACAAAAAAAAAGTATACACATATATACTGTCTCCTAATGAAGAAATACAAATGACTTTAAAGTAATCATGCTGAGCATGGTGACACATTGCTGTAATCCCAGTACTCCGGAGGCTGAGGAAGGAGGATCGCTGTGAGTTCAAGACCAGCCTGGGCTACATACTGAGTTCCAGATCACTCTCAACTACACAGTGAGACCCTGTCTCAAAACAAATAAAAAAATAATCCTGATGTTTCGATCCCCGGTACCAAAAAAACGAAACAAAAATAATCCTGATGTTTTATAATACAATAAAATAGCTCAGTGGGTTATATGTACTTTATAAATAAACATGCTTACATAAACGTTTATACTTTATAAATTAACATATTTATGTTGGAGATGTTATGCTCTTTAGTCGTAAATGTCCCATAACGTCTCATTGTTAAAAGGTTGGTCATGCTGCAGGGATGTAGTGCACACTCTGTGGTAAGTAGGGCATGCTCTTAAAGAGATACTGGGACTCTTAATTCTGCCCGTCTCTCCCTCTGAAACTCCCAGGAACCATGAAATAAGCCCTTTGCTCCACCATGAACTTTCTTCGCTTCGTTTGAGACAGGGTGTCTCTATGTCACTCAGGCTGGCCTTTAACTCCGTTTGTAGCCCAGGCTGGCCTCCAGCTTGCAGTGATCCTCCTGCTTCAGCCTGACCTTACAGTGCTGAGATTACAGGCGTGCGCCACTCCACCAGGAACTTTCTGCCATGCTATTCTGTCTCAACACAAGCCCTGAGCAACAGTGTGCAGGGATCATCTCCTGAAACCACGAGTGAAAATAAATCTTTCCTCCCTTCTTTGTAAGTTGATTTTTGTCCCAAATGGCTAGGATCACAGGAGTATGCAGGAATATGATGTCACGTCAACAGAAAACTGACACAGAGATGCAAACTGAAAATGTTCTTGCTACTAGGAGTTTCATCTCAAAAAGTGGAGAGAACAGCCACCGGGCCTCCTCCCAGAGTCTGGGGAAGTTTTGAGGTGAGTCTTGCTGCTGCAGGGAGAGGTAAGGGAGGGAAGGGGAATGGTGGCTCACCTCAATTTTACCCTCCTTGGCAGCCAGCTTCAAGGGAGTGAGACCCTGCAGGTTTTGAATGTTCTCGAGCTGCACAGTGGGGCAGAGGCGGGCCCCCGCCTTGAGGAGTGCATCGTACATACGGGTCACCAGTTCGCTGTTCTCTTCAGAGTTGTCAGCGATCATCACCAGGGCATGCAGAACGGTGTTGCCCAAGGAGTCAGCAGCCTGCAGGCTGGCGGGCTGGTACGGGTTCTCCAGGAGGTAGCTCACCACATCCCACTGCTTGGTGCATGCAGCCAGAGAGAGGGGCAGCTCGCCTATGGGCCAAGAGAGCAGCTTGGGTCTTGGGCATCCCAGCTTCCATCTGCCTGCTCTTCCTGCTTCTCTGACAGACGGCCAGGCCTCCGTGTGGGAGTCAGGCCTCTTTACCTCCTGGGAGTACAAAGCCAGTCCCCGCCTCATGGTCTTTGCCAGAACTCAGCCACATGGCCCCTGAAGTCAAGCTCTTCCTGACTGAATGCTTCTTTCTTCTGAGCCAGCGATGTAACCCAGGGCCTTCAGTTCCACGGGCTAAGCTTGTGCTCTACCGCTGAGCTGCACCCCACCTATCCTGGATGACATAGGTCAGTTCCACCAACCCCCAGTCATGCGCAGCCTTCTTGATCAAAGGAGGATAAAATCACCTCTTAAGACCAATTGATTTTTTAGGCAGCCTAGTAGTTACAAGATGTCTGCCAGGGCCAAGCCAACTTGGTTTGAGTGCCAACTCTGCCACACATTAACCATATGACTTTGGACAAGGTCTTTATTATGGTTTACACTTAGATCTCCCCAAAAAACCTCATTGCTCAGAGGTGGGGCTTTTGGAAGGTGACTGGATAAAGGGGATTTAGAGCCAACTTGCTGTTGGGAGGTGGGATCTGATTGAAAGAGGTGGGGCCGTGGGTGTTGCCCTGGATTTGTCTCTTGCCCATCCTCCCTTCACATCTCCCCCAACATCTCTCTCTCTCTCTCTCTCTCTCTCTCTCTCTGTCTATCTCTCTCTGCCTCCACTACCATGGTAGGAGCTATTTCTCCCTCTACAAACTGAACCAAAATAAACTTTTCCTCCTTTACACTGTGGGTGTCAGGGATTGTGTCTCTGCAAGGAGAAGCTAAGACAGGCTTATCTACCTCTACCTACCTGCACCTCTGTGTGTGCATCAAGAGCTCACTCACCAAAATAGAAGCAAGTTCCTTGCCTCTTCTGGAAGAAATGGCCACAAGCCCGGGCGTGCACGTTGGCCCCATTCTCCACCAACAGCTTCACGCACTGCAGGTTCCTCTTCTCAATGGCAATGTGCAAAGCACTGTGACCTCGGTAATACTCATCTGTGCACTGGGCGTTGACCAGAGGCCAGGGATTGCCAGAGTCTCGGTCGATCTGCAGCAGTGGAAGGATGCAGGCGTTGACCCCGTTCTGAAGGTTCAGCACAGCCTTCATCAGGCACGTTTTGCCGGTGGAGCCCTCTGTGGGAAAAGGGAGGACAAGGGACACTGCAGTGCTCGCACCCAGAGCGGCTGGGCTACCCGTCAGCTGGTACAGTAAGCCCAGGCCCCAGGACCCCTGGGGAGTATTCAGAAAGCTTGCTGCTGCATGGGACTGCTGGGAGCACAGCCACATTGCAGGTAAGAAAGCTCTAGGCAACACTACACAAATACAACACGTACAACTACAATTCCTGAAACGAACTTTCTAAGACAGAAATCATCACTCATGAACTTCATGGTATAAGAGCAACGGAGGCAATGTGAGTAAGGGGCTTCTCCACTTAATGGCTTCGTCTCTCCCAGTGAGTCCCTTGGTTTCCCTCTCTCTGGAGAACAATGCAAACTTAGACAGAGTTCACTTTAAATGGGAGATTCATATTAGCTAGCATGTTAGTTGACAGATATTTTTAAAATTAGGAGATTGGGGTGGGCACATGCCTGTAAGTTCAGCACTTAGGAAGCTAAGAGAGCTAGGGATTTAGCTCATTGGTGCTGTGCCTTTCTTATAATCTCAAGATCCTGAGTTCGATCCCTGGTATGAGGAAAAAAAAAAGGCTGAGGCAAGAGGATCAGTGAAAATTTAAGGCCAACTTGAGGTACATAGTGAGTTTGAGTCCAGTCTGAACTACATACTGAGATCCTGTTCCAAAAAACAAAAAATGAGGTAGATAATTTCGAACATATAGCAAGCCCAATAATAATTGTGGGGGACCACCTTATTGATTATGCCCAACACAGTCTGTAAGCAGTACAGACTACAAAGACTTCACCCCACAATTGGCTTGTTTTGAGAAAGTCTGTCTGAAGGCTACGTGCAAGGTCTGTGTAACTCTTACCGAAATTCCATTCCCATAATTAGAAACTTAAGTAAAATGACAGGATCGTTAGCTAACTACAGCTCTGTATTTTGTCTGTTCTGTTCCTGATTCTAAAGTGCTTTGTCTTTTCCTTTATAAGCCTGGCCTGTAGCACTATCATGTCCATAGCAATAGCACGTCTTAAACGTAGCCCCTTTACCACCATCTGATCATGATGTCATCAATAAATAGCAGTGGCTTGGACTGGGCAGGAACTTTGCAGGTTGCTCCATACTGGCTGTCATGGCTCCCCATTCTTTTCTTTAATTCTGTCTTTGAATCTTTCTTCAGTCCTGCCTCCTATACTGGGCTAGAGACTGGAACCTACTGCAGAGGTCTCCAGTAAATAATAATACAAAGAACTCTTGTGTATCACTTACCTAAGTGTCCAGTTTTTACCATTTGCTACATTTGCTGTAATTTTCTCTCATGTGGATTTTTGTTTGTCTGTTTGTTTGTTGTTGTTTTGGTACTGGGGATCCCACTCAGGACCTTGCCCTTGCCAGGCAGGCGCTGTGCTGCATTTTTATATGTGCATTTTTGTACACATGTTCTTCTTACCTCTTACTAGGTCAGAGTGAAATTACTGTGGACAAGGATATCCTGCTACACATTTCTACAGTATAACTGCAATATTTTGCAAATCTAACATTCATATTGCTTTCATTCATCTAGCTTGGCCTCTCTTAATCTCAGCTTTCTTCTTTGAAAAATGACATGAGCTATGTGTGGTGCATGCGTGTAATCCCAGAACTCGGGAGGCTGAGGCAAGGGTAACATCATGGGTTCCAGGCCAGCCTGGGCTACACACTGAAATTCTGTCTTAAAACAAAACAAAACAAAACAAAACAAACCTGGAAATATTCCAAGTATATTGCATGGATCCAAGGCTACAATCGAAACAAAGTGCTTAACACACAGAAGGGGGTCACACCGCAAGTCCAGGTCAAAGACTACAAACAACTTAAGGGCAACATATTTATGTGACCATTGATGTTCCATTCATTTCTGTCAAACACATACCATTTGTATAAACATATATCTAATGTGATGAGAAATTCTGAAAACTTGGATCCCAAAACAACCACAGGCAGGGGCTGGTTTCACCCATTTCCCAGCTATTCAAAACGGCCAGAGCTGGGTGTGGTGGCGCACGCCTGTAATCCCAGCACTTGGGAGGCTGAGGCAGGTGGATTGCTGTGAGTTCGAGACCAGCCTGGGCTACATAGTGAGTTCCAGGGCAGTCTCAACTACACAGTGAGACCCTGTCTCCAAAACTAAAAAGAAAAACCCAAACAAAAGGACCAGGGTCCAAATATGTTATTTTTCTCATTAATGCAAGCAACACTGAATGAGACTGGGGCAAAGTTACTCTGAGAGCAGTGAAGTGTATTCTATGCCTGCTAACTATCTCAATAAAGCTACTTGTAGGAGAGGGGAAGAGTGCACTGCGAGTATCCGTGCAGCAAAGGAAATGGGCCGGGGGCAGAGGCAGGGTGCGTGGAAGCAGGAGACACGGCCAAGAAGGTCAGGGGCTGTCTCGGACCAGTTCCATCGACCCACCCTACCGCACCCAACCCCTGTAGCCATTCCAGCAGGAGGGCCGCCAAGGACACTGGACTCTGTGTTCTGTCCAGGGCTCGGCCAGGTCTCAGGCTGCAGGATGCCAGAGCACGGAGGATGTCACAGGGCAGGGGCTACCTGTGTACTCTGAGTCAGTGAGGTACTTGCTGGTCCGGCGCAGGTACTCTGGCAGCCCAGCCAGGTCGTCGGGAACACCCCGGGAGACTGCACTAAAGAGGCGGTCACGGTCGAAGCGGGTCGGGTCCGGCTGGCTGTAAGGGATGTGGTCTGTGACTCACGTTGGACAAGGACCACGACCACCCTCACCGAGAAGCCTCCCATCCCAGGAGTCCTCCAGATTTCGGTCACCCCCGGTGATTTTCAGCATCTAGCGCTTCTTACTTACCGGGTGCCCTGGTCCTTCAGCTTCTCTATCCCACAGGGTCCAGTTTACCACACATAAGCTTTGATGGGCCTCAAATTCAGTTGTTGTTTTGTTTTTGTGGAGCTTGAACCCAGGGATGCTCTGCCATTGTGCTAAACCCCAAGGCCTTTTTATTTATTATTTTGAGGCAGGGTCTTCCTAAGTTAACCACACTGGCCTCAGACTTTCAATCCTTCTGCCTCAGCCTCCCAAGGAGCTAAAACTACACATGCCACGATGCTTGGGTGCCTTGAACCTTTGCATGGCTCTGTGAGAGGTTGCAGGAGGTGGCTGTAAACTGAAGGAGGCTCGAGGTACCTGTGAGCTCCAAGCAAAAATGGAGAAGTTGTTGGGATATAACTCTGTGTAGACCTTGCCTAATTGTGGAAGGCCCTGGTTCAATCCCCAGCAACACACATATACACACAAACACACGGAGGAAGAGGAAGGAGAGAAGGAGGAGGAGCAGGATGAGTAGGAGGTGGAGGTGAAGAGAGGCACGTGAAAGAATAGAGAAAATTCCCTTCTCTCATCTAACTACAGAGTATTCTGAACCTTTAATCTTCACTCTACGCCTATGGTCAGGAATCGGTCTTCTCCTTTAGACAAGCAAGCAGGTACAGTAACTTGCCCACAGCCATACAGTGCAGAACTGGGGCTGTCTAATGCTAGGTAGGCCCTGACTCTCAACACCCAGGGAGCTTTGAGGCTGGGTGGGAAAGGTTTCCCAGAGACAGAGTATCAAGTGGATCTACTGCTGAAAATGTATGAGACACGGACCAGGGTTTTCCTGAGAAACCACACTTCTGGGAAATCTCTTCTACAAACCCCAGAAGGGGGCTCTTGGCTTATCAGAATCTAGCAGTGTCTGGGGGATGTGGAACAGGGAGGGAGAGGGGCATTCCTTCCGGGGCTGTGCCAGTATTCACAGACAGGGCCGGCTCACTCTGGAGCCCCTGGAACTGTGACCAGGAGATATACAGCAAAAAAGAGGTGTGGGGGAGACTTGAAGCTTGGCCACTCTCGAGTCACAGCTTAACATCTGTGAACCGAGCCGTCCCAGTAAGGTTTGTGACTCTCTGGTGTGCAGTTGACTTGGAATTAGTCACGTTGGGGGTGGGTGGTTTGAGGCAGGATCTCGCTTTGCGTTGCAGGCTGATCTTGAACTCACTATGAGGCCAGGTTGGCCTTGAACTCATGGCACTCCTCCTGCCTCAGCCTCCCAGTGCTGGGATTACAGCCATGCACCACCATCCTCACCTCATGCCATCTGTCACTTTTGAAGACATACAGCCATAATGTGATTACAGGCAGCCTCTGCATTCTCGGTACCAGGAAGCGTCATGTCTACCTCTGAGGCCAGATGTACTATCATCTACCAGCAGACCACGTGGCCACAACATGACCACCAGGGCCCCACCGCTGAGCGCTGCGCCCTGTGAGCAGCTGGGCTGGGAAACGTGGCCTTTGAGATAAAGTACTTCTGCCACCAGGGAGGCATCACAGTGCTGGATGAGGGAAGCCTAAAGACAGCACAGATTGCACCTCCAAAGGACCTCACTGGGCCCATTCTCGCTCCATAAGCCTAGGTGCATTACTCCCAGAGGACTCCTATGCTGATGACTCCTCCTGCCTCCGTGCTGATCTGGGTCCTCAGGCACTAACGGTAGGAGAGATCCTACCCTGGGAGGCCAAGAGTGGCGGCCACACCTCAGCACGAGGAGTGAGAACGGGGCTGCCCGGGAGGAATCTCCAGGCCTGTGGAGCCAGCGTCACACTAAAGGAGCTGTCAGGTATGACTTCTCTTCCCTCAGCAGCACTGGAAGCAGGATCCCTGGAGTCACAGTCCGAACTGGTAGAGAGACCACAGGAAATTCAGGCGCAGATGACTCCAAGGAGAGGCTCATTGTCCTCAGTCCCCAGGGTCCACACCCCTGCCTGACAGTTTCGGCCTTGGAGTAGATCAGAAGACTCCTTGAGATGTCCTTCCCTCTGTCCTACACGGACTGTAGACCCTACTACCATCCCCTACACGGACAATGACAGGGTAGGTGCTAGGGCCCAAGCAAGCGGGATTTTGAGGCCAGGTGGAGTACTTGGGAGCCAGAAGAGTGTGTCCCCACAAGGAACACCACCTCAGAAGGGAGAAGGCCAAGAAAGGGGAAGGTTCTGGAAGGAGCAACCCCAGAGAGCACAGCAGGAGCCACTGAAGCCAAGCTGAGGGGATGAGCGCTGAGCCTGGTGGGGGCTGGCAGGCTCCCTCCTTGACCCTCCCTCCACTTGCTGCCTCACCTGGCATCAGCTCTCTTCCGGTAGTCGAGGTTCACTCTGATCCGAGGGGAGGAGTTCCGGTCTTCACCTTGGAATGGTGACTCCATGGGGGGCGGGCCATGCTTTCCTTTGTCCCCCTCAGTGCCACCTTCTTGGCCTCCATCTGATGTCTCCAGCCTGAAAGCTGAAGGGCTGGAAGGCGAGGTCATCCTAAGGGAAAGAGGCTGCTTGGCCCACCGCCAACCTCTGTGGAGATGTAGATGTCAGCGATCCCCTCTTTCTCCTGGCGCCAGGTCCGGAATGGTCTGGCTGGGCTGCAGAAGGAGTTGTTTAGAAGTGGAGACCAAATAAATCCACCCATCCACCACCATGCAGGAGCCCTTGGGGCCACACAGGAAGGGAAGTGAGCCATGGGGAAGAAGGGCAGAGGGAAGAGGAGGTCTGTGCTACGAGGATGGCACCCCCTACTGGAAGGAAGAGTAGCAGGGACTCACTAGGGCTGCCACTTCCATGTTTTCCCACACAGAGAGCCGTGACTGTCCCCAACTTCCTGCCATCTGAATGACCACAGCCCTTGCTCAGGGCCAGTAAACATTGATGTTCATAGCACAAGCCCTTTCACATCCTGCCCAGTCGCCAGTATTCACATCCAACGCAGTTCCTAGGCTCAGGCAGGCAGGCTGCTCACGCCCTCACTGTGGAATGGGCGATCTCTGGGGAAACTATTGGGAAAGCCCTCAGTCCATCCAACCCTTCTTTCTGCCGCCAGGACGACTGAGGCTCAAAAAGGGGAAGAGATTTTCTCAAGGTCATTAGTTGCTGGCAGAGCCGGCTCTAAAACCATCTGGCTCTATACCATGACATTTCGCTTCAGTTCACAGATTCTTCCAGGGCCTGTGTACCTTTTCAGTCTGACTCATGTCTGAGGGCATGGACACCATCTCTCCAGGGCCTTCAGAGTGGGCTGACAAGCTTCCTCTGCTGCCCCCTCATGGCTCAGGCTGGGCTCAGGGAGGTCACCTAATAGCACCACCTGACCCTCACAGGAACAGTGAAACCACAGCCTCCATCACATGGCGAGGGGTGGGGTGCTAGTCGGGGTCAGGGTACCCCTGAATCCCCAGTGGGCAGGAGCACAAAGAAGGAAAAAGAGCCACAGCTGGGCTAGGAGACAGCAGCCTGTGAGAAAGCCACGGCCGGGGCAGAGGGTAGGGAGTGAAGAAGAGCAGGGATGTGAGATGAAGCGGGCTGTGTGCTGGGCCTGGGACCACTCCCAAGACGCTCTGGGTTCCCAGTGCCTTGGGGACGTGGAGGGAACTTGTCTCCACAGTAGCTGAGGGACCCCATCACCTGTCCGGCTGCCTTGATCTGCAGTTGCAACCTGCCACCTTTCTGCCCTCCCCAGAGTGTGGAGACCCTTCCCCTCCCTGCAAGGAACCCTGTAGCCTAACTTTTGTCCCCAAACAAATCGTGGTCCCTTCTGCCTCCCTGGAAGCCCAAACCTCTCCACTCCCTAGCCCCAGAAGCAACAGCTGTCTCTCCAGCCCCGTCCCTCCTCCTGTACACCCACCCGCCCTGGCAGCAGAGGAAGAGGTCAGGAGGTCCAGCGAGGGGGCCCCAAGCAGATTCTAGTTCCAAGCTGGAGAAGAAAGGAGTCCACCCGGGCTTTCCCACTTTTGAATGATCCAGGTCCCAGTGCCCTAGTTGTTGCCTATCCATTTACCCTTCAAGCAGAGGCCAAGGTGAGGAGGCAGCAGGGCAGCTGCTGGGAATCCCAGGCTTTTGGCAGCAGGGACTGCAGGAGGAAGTGAGGCTGGGATCCTAGTGCTGCTGACAGCAGGAAGCTAGAAACTGATGAAAACTTCCCTCCCTTCTTGGAGCTAAGGGTATTGCATTATGGTCTCCTGGTGTTCTCCACCCTCAGTCCTCAGGGCAAGCTGACACAGAGAAATGGGCCTTTAACTTCCCTGCAATGACACTTTGACCATCAGATACTGACCATATGGACCACTGGCCATGGCCTCAGGGAGACACGCCCTGCTCCCTGGTGTGCCCAGCCTCCACATTCCCAACCCTGTACTGCCAAGCTAGGAAGGCCCCAGGTAGGACTGCTGACAATGAAAGACAGCGCTTGGGTGCTGGAGCCTTGCCTCTGTGTGAGCTGGCCCGGAGCCGGGATTGAAAGACAGCGCTTGGGTGCTGGAGCCTTGCCTCTGTGTGAGCTGGCCCGGAGCCGGGAATTCTTGCCTCTCTACGCTGACATCCACCCTCTCCCCTTGCCCACCACCAGTGCCTCCCAGCAGCCTAGGTGGCCAAAACCCGGTTCAGGGGAGAGAAAGCCGATGTCGACCGCCCCAGGGAGAGGACAGGCTCAGCACATCAGTTATCCCTGGCAATGCAGCCTCACCCACCCAGCAGCAGAGGGGAACTTTCCCACCTCTCCAGTGCTTTCCACTGACCCTAGAGATCCTGAGGGTCCGGAGTCCCTTAGGTACAGGCGCTTCCAGCAACAGCCAACAGGTGACGACAGGGAGGCCAACATATACCGCTGCCATTTATCTCACTGCCCTGGTATATGCCTTGTCTTGGGACCTGGGGACACAGCCAACACTCAAGCAGCCCTAGGCCTCCTCCCTCACTCTTATTCCCTTGTAACTCGCTCTAAAATTTCTTTTTCTGCCTGGTCCATGTCACTATTTTGTCTCACTTGGGAAATCGCAGCCACTCAAACTGGTCTCCCTGTCACACTCTTGCTTGGTGCATTCTCAATAAAGTCTTGTTTGTTTGTTTTTAGGGGGGGGGAATCTCTCCTGCTTGTGATTACAAGCATGCATCATCCTGCCCACCTCCCCAATCTTATACTCCATTCTCTGTACGGTGACTGTCAATGTATTAAAAATAAAATCTGCAGGGCATGGTGGCACCTGCCTGTAATCCCAGTGCTGTGGAGGCTCAGGCAGGAGTAGTGTCACAAGTAGGTCACTCACCTATGCCTCTGATTCCTATCTGGGTTCACTGGACCAAATGGTGCTAATCACAGTGCAATCTCAAAGGTTTTTCCAGAGATGCTTGCAGGGCTGCATATTGCGTCTCTTTCTTGAGGCCAGTTTTGCCTCAGTTTCTTCAGTTTTGCCTCCTGCCAGTCTTGGTTCTTTTCCATCTTCTATACTGACTCCTTCAAGGGCTTGATCTCTCTTTGTCTCTTGTTATTATAGACAGCTAAGTTAGGTAAAAATATTATAGGTAGTCAGGCAGGGTTAGGCCCTTGAGGGAGTCAGTGCAGAGGATGAAAACACATTACAACTGTGCCTGGAAGATCAACTGTTCAAGGCCAGGCCTTAAGATAAAGAGGAAATAACCAAGCCTGTTTTTGCCCAAGGGATAAGCAATAGACTACAAATGGTATCACCTGCTCCAATAAAGTCTAGTTAGCCATCATCACCAGGTTAGTGTGACCAGGAACTCCTGATTCATCTGTTCTTATAAAGGCTTTGTTTTTCCATGTACAAATGCTATGTGAACATTTTCCCCACTAGATCAACATTACCTAAGCAATTATACTTGTAAATTGGTTGATCATAGTTTTGACCCACATTCTACTCCCCTTGTTATTTTGCTCTATAAAAGTTCCCTTGGGCCTGGGATTTAGCTCAGTGCTTCTGGCATCTGCCTCGCAAGTGCAAGGACCTGAGTTCGATCCCTGGTACAAAAAAAAAAAAGAAAAGAAAAGAAAGAAATTCTCCTCAGGCTGGAGGGTTAGCTCAGTGGTACCAGAGAGTACTGGCCTAGCATTTTGAAGGCCCTGGGTTTGATCTCCAGTGCACACACACACACACACACACACACACACACACACACAAAACCACGCTTCCACATGACAAAAACCAAGCCTTAGCCCCTACTGAAACCAGAAGATAGAGAAGTCAGGCAAATAGGGCAAAGGCCCTGAATAGTTAACTTAAATTAAAGTGAGGGCCTAAGTGAATTGACATACCAGAGGCCCAAACAGGCCATCAGGGCCTAATGGAATAGAGGGATAAAAAATGGGCCCTTAACCAAATGGGAGAGAACCTGCAGGAAACAAAAGGCACAAGCAGCAGCTTGCTTTCTGGACATCAAAGGCCTACCTGCAAGGAGGAACATCCCTGCCTGATGTATATATCAGTCCCAAAAGCTGTGTTAAAGGCCACTGGACTAACATCTATAGTTTGTTTGTCTCTTCCCTTCCTGACAAGCAGGGAGCCCTTTTCTTTATTCTTTCTAATAAACGTGCATTTGTCCATTCTCCACTCCCTGTTGCTTGCTGTTCTGTTAGCATCAATCTTCCTTGTCCCAAAACAAAAACCAGACAGCTAGGGGAAGATGCTTACACTATCTTTCCCACTATGCTTCATTTCACATTTGTAGCTTTTTGGAAATGTTCCTTTACTTTGAATTTATTTTTTTCATTGAGTTTATTGTTAATTTTTAAGTATACAGTACAATTACATTCCTCATTGAGATCTTGTACCTTTTCATGACAGATCTTGGTTCTGATTTTTTCCCTATACCATTGCCCTCCCTTCACCCCCTCCACTCTCCCCTGTGAATTTATTTTAGATAGATTTTTAATCCAAAAAATAAGGAAGAGCTCACCAAAAAGTGTAGCAGATCTGTCCTCTAGAAAGGGGAACTAATGATCAGGGATGAGAGGGGTACTTCCTTTTCACTATGTATTTTTTGTTCTATTTGATATTACTGGGGCTGGAGTTGTAGCTTAGCAGCACAGCACGCTGGCAAGCATGAGGACCTGAGTTTGATCCCTGGTAGTAGAGAGAGAGAGAGAGAGAGAGAGAGAGAGAGAGAGAGAGAGAGAGAGAGAGAAGGAGAGAGAGAGTGACAGAGAGAGAGAGAGGGAGAAAGAAAGAAAGAAGGAAAGAAAGAAAAGGAAGAACTAGCTGGGCTTGGTGGCACACACTTGTAATTCCCGCCTTTGCGAGGCTGATGCAGAATGATTGCCAAGAGTTGAAGGTCAGCCTGGGGTACATAGTGACATCAAGGCCAGCCTGAACTACATGTGAGATCCAATCTCAAAAATATAAAAATGTTATGGGTTGGGGATTTAGCCCAGTGGTTCCGCTGCCTGCCTTGTAAGTGCAAGGTCACAAGTTTGATCCCTGGTATAAAAAAAAAAAGAAGTTTAAAAAATCAATATATAAGTAAATACAAAAAGAAAACCAAAAAATATGCCACCAAAACATAGTGCTGAAGGGCTAGGCGTTTAGTTCAGTGCCACCGTGCCTGCCTCAGAAGCAAAAGGTCCTGAGTTCAATCCCTGGTACCAAAACAAACAAAACATAGTGCTGAAGTCATCTGATTCCTGTGGGATGAGGTAAAAATGGTGTAATTGCATTTCTGTTTGTAGATACATAAAAATGAAATTACTGCCATTGGCTTTATTTATTTAGCAGTACTGAGGATGAACCAGGGCCCCCTCAAGAGAAGCATATAATTTTCCAGTTCCAAAAAATAAGATGAACATTCTGAGAGGGAAGGAGGGAGGACAACTCAAACTCAAAAGCCCAAGCAGGTTTATTGCTAAACCTGACAGGGACCATTCTGTGCGAGCGGAACAGAGAACATATCTCTAACAGGCTAAGATGCTTTTTTTTTTTTTTTTTTGAGACAGGGTCTCACTGTGTAGTTGAGACTGACCTGGAACTCACTATGTACCCCAGGCTGGTCTCAAACTCACAGCAATCCTCCTGCCTCAGCATCCCAAGTGCTGGGATTACAGGCGTGTGCCACCATGCCAGGCTCTAAGAGGCTTTTTAGTAGCATTTTTTGGCAGGCTTCTGAAGGGGTGGAAAAACAGCCAGCTGATGTGTCCTCTGTGTCCTTTTATCCTGCCAACATGTCTTCAGGGAACACCTAATGCCACAGTACTCTGGGCTGAAGAGTCCTTGCAGGGAGAATGGTGGGGGATGAAGAAGGACAGAACAAAAGAGAACAGAAGAACAAAGAGATACAAATGCTGGAGCCAGGTGGGGCCTTCCTCCTGATGGGAGAAAAAGACTGCCAGGCTACTGCAGTGCCTTTATTTATAGTGGCGGCCATGAGGGAAGTGTAGGGGAGGTAAAAGGAGCTGGTCTGTAACTGGGACTAGGAGAGTAGCTAAGATCTGCAAAACATCATGCTTTAATGGTTTTATGGGGAATAGAGCGGGAGGAAAACAAGTTCTCTTCTCTCTGTGCCAGGCCTTGCTCCACCATGCCCTCTTGTCACCTGTTTTCCTATCATGGCCCATGCCTCTTCCGGAGGAGGAGGCCAGTTGGGCCTGGCCACAGTGATCAAGACAGCCGCACTCCCAACACACAGCTAACCTGCCAGCATGTTCTTAGGAGACTGCTTCTGACCTGATGATATGCCCTGTAACACAGGAAAAAGAAACCTACATTTCTCCAAGATGTCAGGTGGAATGGTTCTACCGGGTGGTGTCCCTGTTTACTGTCACCGCTGCCACCATTGCCATCTCTCTCTCTCCTCTGGATTTCTTTGAGTGTGCCCAAAATCTCTGCCTAACAAAGCCTTCCTGAGCATCTGTCATTTGTTTTGAGGCAGGGTCTCAGTTTGTACTTCAGGCTGGCCCAGGCTGGCCTCAAACTTGTGATGATCCTCCTACGTCAGCCTCCCAAACTCTGGGATTACACTTGTACACCACCATGCCTAACTCTTCCTGAGCTTCTTACCGATGTGGCCTGAAAATGCTTTTTCTGTAACAGGAGTCATCGAATCTACAAATTTATCCAACAAGAAGGGCAGTGTAGGATCTTTATCTCAGCCTCGGGAACCTCTTCAGACCCGGTCTGGTGGCAGGCTTGGGTTCAATCCGCACTATGGCCAAAAGAAAAACAAAGAAAGCAAACACCACAACACTCTTATAGGTGTATAGAAACAATCCAACTCACATTTGCAAGACACGTCAAAAGCACGTACAGAATTCATACAAATTCTTAAAACACTGGAAGGAGAGAGAACTCAGAAGCTGGCAGGTGGAAAGTGCTCCGGCCTTAGGTGATTACAGCAAAACATCTGGGGGTGCTGGGGACCAACAGCAAACAGCCTGGACTTGCAAGCTGGGATGGACTGGCTTCACACCCATCCCGACACTGACAGGAGCCATGGCTGAGGCCCCCTACTGGCCAGACGGTGCCTCCCAGAGCAGACTGTGTACTAGCCTGGCAGAAAGGAAAAGGGCAATTAGGCCTTGCAGGCTTCCGCGAGCAAGGGAGTCTGGGGCTCCGGAGGGAGCAGGGGGAATTCTAATGTCCTGAGAGGCCAAAGGTCCCTTAAGGAGTCACCGAGGCCAAGGGACTCTACCGAAAAAGGGACCAGAGTCCAAGTGGCTGAGCACAGCCTGCAGGGCCTGGGAGAATGCCTGCTCTCACACAGAGGACTGCCCTTCCCACGGCGCCCCAGGGACCACTGCTTGCTGCCTGATGGGCGGCCTCTCTTCCAAGACCCAGAATAGCTACAGCCCGGGCCCAGCCCAAACCCGGAGAACCAGACCCCAAACCCATAACCCTCTGCGGAATATCGGTTCCCGATTTTACCAAAGACCAAGAGAAGGGATTTTCAGTTATTGGGAACACAGAACAGAGACAGGGGTCAGAGAGCTGAGTCAGGCAAAGATGGAACCGAGAAAGGGGGCGCTAGTCACAGCACAAAGGAGAAAGGCGCAGACTGAGGACCAAGACCCAGCGACCCCAACGGGTAGGCAGAACCAGCGACAGGGACAAGGCGAATGACGAGGCACAGGCAGGGTCGGTACAGGCTAGGAATCCATCAGTCAGAGGCTGGACTGAGGCACAGGATGATCCAGGCTGTGCTGCAGGCCAGAGCATAGGTGAGCGGGGCACGCAGGAGGCCG